TTCATTTTCTGCATGGTGTAGTGTTCAGAAACATTATTCTTATCGAGACAGTGTTGGTTTTCTCTTGTAGCTGAATGGAGTCATGAGTCACTGGTTTAGATTCAGAGCTTATTCCCTACTGTGGAGGCTTTTAAGAAGAGGTATAAAATTGTTGACTTGTATACAGAAGAAATGAAAATGCATTGTGCTACTGTGGAGCAGCAATTAAATAAAGTTTGCACAGTTTCATTTCAAAATGCAATTTTGATGAGAGAATACTTATGTGAAGGCTATAATAGCTCATAGCAGATATGAACCTTTATTCAGAGAATTTGTTGAAGCTTAGTATACTTTCATTGGAGTATTTAAGTTTTTTCAGGAGAAGGTTAAAATAATGGATTTTTAGGTTTAGTGGGTGTTTTTTTTCCCCCATGTAGGAACTTTGAGATTTCAAATATATTTAATTACAATTTCTTCTTGAGATACCCTATTGAGAGGTGTCTCTGATAGACCTTGAGATGTCTATCTGCTTTTCTTCAAAGCTAAATGATTTTTGATGGCCATTGAGTTGATAGTTAAAGCTCTGGAATAATTCCATGGTTGTGGATTGAAAGCTTTTTATATGACTTGGTTGTGGAGTCTGTTGTCTACATATAATATATTAACACATCTCTGTGAGCAAATAAAGGGCAGGTTTTATACACTACAGTATTGCAGTGAGCTGTAGTAAGAACAAGGCTCGAGCCATTCATTTTTTAATTGGAATTTTGGAGAATGTCCTTTTGATCTGTAAGTCACTGATCTAAAACAAAGGTTATAGCAGCAGAACCAACTGCCTCCAATCAGTTTGCATGCCTCCTTCTCAAAAGCTGCAGAGAATGCTCAAGTCATTCTGTATTTTTGTTATCACTTAACTTTCAGCTGACAAGTTAGTAAGCCCCAAAGATCTGGACCCTATCGGACGCTACGTGGCTCCCCAAGACCAGCGGAACGTTAGCATGAGATTCTCAAATCAGGTAAGCACAAGCTTAGGATTAAAATATTTTTTACTGAAAAATTGTCTCCTACGTGTTATAGCTGGTCTTCTAATATGACAGTTAAAGTGCTAGGAGAATGTTAAATGCATGTGCCTTTCAGAGCTGAAGGAGGATTGCTTTTAGGAGGAAGATCCTAATGCTTGCAGTTTTGGCAAAGTGATGTACATTTGCCTTCATATTAAGTGATGCAGTCAAAATAATACGTAAAATGTGAGTTTAAATAGGTGCTGATAGATAAGTATGATCACTCTATAAAAAAATCTCTTCCTAATATCCAACCTAACCCTCCCCTGGCAGAGCTTGAGTCTGTGCCCTCTTGTCCTGCTGCTGGTTGCCTGGGAGAAGAGACCAACCCCCACCTGACTCCAACCTCCTGTCAGGGAGTTGCAGAGGGTGATGAGGTCTCCCCTGAGCCTCCTCTTCTCCAGGCTGAACACCCCCAGCTCCCTCAGCCTCTCGTCATGGCACTTGTGCTCCAGTCCCTTCACCAGCCTCATTGCCCTTCTCTGGACCTGCTTTGATTCTTAAAACTAACAACTTTCAATATGCCACAGCTGAACACTTTGAAGAAAATGAGGGTTTGTTCTAAAGGCACTGCATGACTCACCAGAAAATGTTTTAGTCAAAACACATTTTTTATTACTGTTTGGGGTACTCAATACATGATAGGGAATTTCCAGATCTGTAGAGAAAAATAGCCCCTGCTCTGAGGGCTTCCCAAAACCAGTAATAAATACCACAATGATAATTTATATTCTCATAACTTACTCCTTGGTAGCCACTTTGTGAGTCAATAAAGAACTTAGCAAGATGCAGCTACCCAGTAAAATTCAGCCATATAATAAGGACTTTACAGTCAACAGTGTTGAATGCATTGAAAAATAACCAGCTACAACTTGATATTTTGCTTCACCTGCAAACAGTGCATGAAGAAGGAAGGAAAAACTGGGCTTGCCTAAGTCTGCTTATACCTCTTCTTCCCAGCCAAACATCAAGTTCCAGCTGAGAGTCTTGAGTTTGACTTTTCTTAATTCACATTTTAGATTTGCTTAAATAGTTTGTCGGAATATTTGATTATGCCATTTTATCTAATTGAGCTAATTTATGCAAAATCAGTATCTAGTATTTGCCTTAAAGTGCTAGGAAAAGGACTAAAAATACCATACGAAATGAGCACACAGCACATCTTAATTATGTCTTCAGAAACCAAAAGTAACTTTTTCTCATTTCCATATAGCTAAAGAATTAGTCAGTTAAATTGAACAGAAAAGTATTCCCACTTCTATTAAATTTCATTCCTGTAAAAAAATAAGTAAATTTTCAGATGTCAGTGTGTGTAAATCTTGTTGAGATACAGTGCTTGAAAGGTGAGGTGCCAAAAAGAAGGCTTTTAAAATTTGTATTTAAAACCCTGTGCTGGGGAAATATTTCTGGGAGAAATGTGTTTTCCATGTAGGTGTATTTTCATACTTGCATTGCATTGACTATATGTTGCCATTGAAAAATTCAGTTTATTTGTGGCTTTTGGTGCCACTACAAAATTACATCTGATAACCACCTAATAGTGTGGATTTAAGCAAGCAAGGGAAAGCATTTAAAATAGTCCAGCCTTAGTTTTACAGTTTTGAAGCACCAGTGAGGAATATTCTAGAATTAGTTAAAGGACAGTAAGGTAATATAGACCTACAAGGGCAAAAGTGCTATGAAAACTATGCATAACTACCATTAGGCCTGTGAATGCATTGCTCAGGAAAATCTGATCACAGGACAATCACATTTGTTGTAGAAAACTGTGGCATCAACTGAGCAGCATAGTAAAACTTTAATGGCCACTAACACTAAAATACTAATTTTGTCCATTTATAGTTAGGAGAAAACACATTTCCTTCTAACATAATGCCCCCAAACCTTACTTTCACTTTCAGGGAGCTGTGTCCATATGTTCCTTCTTGGGGAAATGCCAGTGTGGCACTGGAGCAGGGAGAGCTCTCTGCTACTTTCAGTCTGAGCTCCAAAACATAACCAAATCTAACAGCAGTCTGAGATTCTCCTTTGCTTTGAAATGCTAATGGTCACCAATGTTTTGGGTTAGATCCCATTCCTGAGCTAGAAAGAAAATGGAATCATCCATACTCTGTTCACTTTATTGAAAGGAGGGGATGCAGGAATTGTGGCTGGGTGAGGATGGTTTGTCAGCACTGGCTCCCTCAGAAGGGATTATTTTGTTATTTCTCTTTACTGTCACCATGTTCAGGAGAGATCATAACACAGTTTGGGTTGTGGCATCCTGGTGTGGGAGCAGGTAGTGTAAAACAAGGGCCTGGATGGGAACAGGAACATTGGAGAAGTGAGGTAGGATGGGGATTTGCTAAGCTTGTTTTGTGTTTTCCTGGCACATGTGAAAGCTGATTTATTGCTGTCTGGTGTTTAATTTCATATGTAACAAAAAATCATAATCTTACTGAATTGTCAGAGTAAGACTGATCTTCTGGGCTAAGTTGAAATATGTGTTTAGGGTTACAATTGATGAATTCAGTTCTCTGTTTTGCTGTGCATAGTTAGCAACCATTTGTGAGGACTTCGTTTCACTTACTGGCAATTAAGCTTAATGACTGCTGAAGAGAATTGGGAAGAGAACAGTCAAAATGATAGACTGCCTATTTTTTATTTTCGGGGAAATAGATAAGTATAAAGAAGGAACTAAAATTATTAATTGTGAGTAGACTGAGATATATTAAGGATTTTTCAGCTACTTGAGTGATGTTTAGGGTTAGAGCATATCTCAGTTGGTTGGTTCAGAGAGATGTACCATACTGGATGATTTTTGTCATGAGAATTATAAATATGTTCTTGCTTTCATTCCTG